AATGGCATGCAAAAAACTATTGATAATAAAAAAGAATCATTATATAAAGATTAGATTTTTTATTTAGTTATATACATCATATAATATTTATTATATTTTTGAGATGAATGTTGATGTAAAGATATAATATAATAAAAATTAATCTTGTATTATAATTAGATTTATATGTACATTAAGTATATTTTTAATGTAGAAATTCTAATCTAATTTTGTATTTGATTATGTTGATTTATAGTTGGAGAGATTATTTTACAACAACACAAATAACAACAATATAAATGAAATAAGAAATACTTCTTTTTCATCACTTAGATTTTTAAGTTATAATATTGGTGTTTTTGCTCCCAAAATTATAATAAGGATACTAAGCATCTTCTTTATGTTAGCAAAGTATTTTCTTAGTTTGAAATTTTTTCTATTAGATATATCATGGGAATATAAATTAAAAGAAGAATTAATAGACAAAGCATTACAAATGCTACATGACAAAGATGTTTGGACAAAGTTTAAGAGTTTAAATGTCTTTCAATTGAGAAATTATTCTTTTTTAGAGAATTTTCTAAATTTATTCTTTAGAATTCCTACATTATTGAAACTTGACTTAGAAAGATGTTCAAACTTAATTATGCTACCAAATGAATTGGAGTATATATTTTTTTTGAAGATACTTAATTTAAAAGATTGTAATAGATTAAGATTATTTCCAACATCAATAAAAAGTCTTCTTGCTTTAAAAAATCTTAACATTAGAAGGTATTCAAACTTGACATTATTTCCAAATGAATTGGGCAATCTTACATCTATGACTACCTTTGACATCAGCTAGTACTCGAGCTTAACATCATTGTGGAATGAATTAAGCAACCTCACATTTTTTACTATCTTTAATATAAGCTAGTATTTAAGCTTGAAATCATTGCCAAGTGAATTAGACAACCTCACATCTTTGACTCACTTTGATATAGAGGGGTGCTAAAGCTTGATATTATTACCAAATAAATTTAGTAATGTCACATCTTTGTCTACCTTTAAATTAAATGGGTGCAAACAACTTAACATCATTGCCAAATGAATTAGGTAACTTCACATATTTGGCTATCTTTAATATAAGTCAATTTTTAAGCTTGACATCATTACCAAATGAATTAGATAACCTCACATCCTTGATTATTTTTAAATTGAAAAGATGCAAAAGCTTGACAATATTACCAAATGAATTGGACAACCTCAATTCATTTGATTTGTGGAATTTAAAGTCCATTAAATTATTTTCAACCAAATACTATAACCAATCATGTAATTAATCATGATTGTATATTCTTTTGGTATGAAAGATTTTTAATACTTAATCTAAGTACTTGATTGTAATAATATATTATTTTTTAAAGAAAAATAAACAAAGATGTATGAAGAATTCATTGATTATAAAAAAATTATTTATAGAAGATGGTATCATTGGAATAAATTATAGAAAATAATTAATTTGGTTGCAAGTATTGCAACTAAGACTAAAAAATAACAAAAATGACATAAATACAATGTAATTTAGTTGCTAGTATTTATATTTTAAATAATAATTAAAAATAAGGTAGAAGTTGATACATAGTAAAAATTTATATGTATATGTATTAGAAAATATTTGTATATGAAAATAATAATTTATTATGTATATTTTGATCAAAAAAATAACAAATATAGTATAAGATAATTTTAGACTTATATAGTTATAAAAATCATTTATAAGGTTTTTGTTAAATAAACACTCTTATCTTTTGATTTTTGGAAAAATTTAAGAATTTAAAAATAAAAAATATATATTTAAAAATATTAAAAATATTTATTTAATTTTTTATAGAATTAATTTAAAAAAAAATTGATGAATCTTTTATAATGAATTTCAAAAAAAAATTATTATTAATAATACTTATATCATTTAAATAAGTAGAAATAAGTCAAATTATAAATATAGATTAGATAAACAAAATCTTCTTCAAGAAATATTAATGAAGTTTTTTAGATGTAGATTGGATTAATAAGTGTGTCATGTGAATGTAGAAGCTTTTCTAAAAAATTGATATTTCTAAAGAACTAGAATAGCAGAGTTATATAACATTGGCATTTGACCATTCATCTTGTAGTCTTTTAGAGCCTTCTATATCGTCTTTTTGTGAACTAGTATACATAGAAGCAAGATTGAAGTCATTCTTGGACTCATCAATGCTATTCTTTTACTGCAATTTTGATTTAAGATTCTTTAGTTTTTTTGTATTTGGCTATAGTTATTTTAATACCTTTCTATTTTAAAGATTCACTTTATTTTATTCTTCTTATTAATATCTAATATTAAATGCAAATATTCATAGCACACAACTATACAATATTACAATCAATTTTTTTTTAAAAAATTATTTAGTAATATCAAATGTACAACATACAATGTACAATGTACAAAAAGAATCAACTGGTGAAATTTTTTACATTTCTCAACATTAGAACTCATTTAACATATGCATTAAAAGAATAATTCTGCATTGCCCATTGCTAGAATTTGTTTGTAAAACTGTCAACCATCAAAGATAACTGCATTGTGTAAACTTCCTTTCAAATATAAATTTTAGACACAATTAAAAACACACACACAGAAGAGGTTCCTCTTTTCAATTGAACCAGCCTATTGGGCACACAACCGCTTCATCTTTGGCGCCCTGCATCATGATTTCTCATGGATTTGCAATGTTACTTGCTTTTGTCATCTAAAAGGTTTAGGGTACAGGGTTCTAGAGAAAACTTTCCACCAACAGTATAGATAGGGATCCTAAGGAAGGCCTAATTTAACCACCAATTCACTTGTAATTGGCAGAGAGAAGAGATCCTCTTCCGAGAGCAATGAAGGGATTGTTTCTTTTACACCCTTCTGTTGTGGAGCTTAAATGCTTCGCAACACAGTTTATGCCTTGTTTTGGTCCAACAACATGCCTAGACCTAAATGACAACATTCTTTCGAGAAAAGAAAAAAGAAAAAAGAAAAAAACCTTTTGAGAAACATAGTCCTTCATGGAAAAAATGCTGCATAGTTCACTCTCCTCCATGTCCAAAAGTGCACCGCGCCGCAGTGTGCTTGCTTGCGAAGCTTCAGTGAGATAGAAATCCAGCACTAAGGGTGGAGAATTGCATTTCGTTGCTTGAATGAAAACTATGGTGTGTTCTTTTATGATCATCTCGCCATCTCCAGATTGTGGACCAGTCTCCGATCTGACCACACTACCATTCGTCGACATTACGCTGAGTCGCACAGCCTGCCACATGACTGGTGGGCCATTCTGCAGGGTGCCGATGCCTATAGAATTGGCGGTCCCATCAGTTCTCGGATTTAGTTGTGTGATGCGGCTTCGGAGAACCATGGACCTGTCGGAGGTAACACCGTCACTTGCATTTTCTTGCACTAGCAGCGGGTTTCCTGGCATGAGTGGTAAGTGGTGTGGTTTTCAATTTTACAGAACCGTTAACCAGGTGGGTTAGGGTCAGGACTGGATGATTCTGGCTTCGCAAGGTTCACGTGGAGTTAAGGAACATTGCACTGATCTTGTCGGATTCGAAGACAAGGGCGTGTTCAGGATGCTGGTTTGCTCCAGCGTAAGATCTGGGTTTTTGGACTTTATCTTACTGGCCACTGTTTCTCTTATTGGTTGGGTGAAGCGCACAGCCATCGTAGTGTTTTACTCAATGAGCATATTCTCTTGGACCAATCTGGATTTCAGGGCTATATTTATCCTCTTGTCAGTACAAGAATATGTGACACATGTAACGCGCTCCAAGTTCAGTGACCTTCAAGAAGTACAGATGCTGCTTGTGACTTTTAGTTTTTGAAGTTTAAACTGAGCCAATTAAGTTCACCTTTCTGGGATCTTTACACCTATTTTCAATGTGAAAAAAACCCGTTACGACAAAAACCTGTTACAATAATTATATAATATTCTCTTTAAAAATCAATATTTTAAATTCAACTCCATGACGCCTACGAAGTAATTATAACTAATGGTTAGACTTAACTTTCCGTCTTTGTGGCATGATCTCTGTTTTCCATCAGATCTTTATTTACGAAGGCCCTAAAAGAAGATCTGACTATGAGATCTTCTTTTGGGGCCTCCCTGAGCATCAGAACTTTGGATAGGACGGCCCCAAAAGCAACCAGACTGTTATTCTCACGTTGCCTGTCTGTACCACATAACTGTCCTGAATCGAAGATTCAAACCCATGCAAGAGCGATTTTCTCTCTGATTGACATCATTCACCCGGTTGAGCGTTGATGTGAGATTTAAACAGGGACGGTAGTAATATATAATTTAAGCAAATGTCTTTTTGCACAAGCGTCAATCAGGGGTGTTCGTTACATGTGTGTCTTGGCATATGATTGATTGACTTAATCAGTGATGCAAAGCCTTTATGGTGAAGATTTTACCAAGTAGCCAATGAAAAATTTAGTAGCGAAAGTACATCGCCTTGTGTATAGATCGTGATAGCATTCATGGTGACGACAGTTCATTTAGCAAAACAAGCCCACAGACTCCCCATCAGGCAACGCCTTCCGTAAGTGTTGTCTAGTGAATTGATGTGGTGTTGTGGTAATTAAGCAGTGAAGTTGACAGAGTCTGCACTCACTGGATACCACTTTGTCCCAATTGGAAACCTCTAACCATGACCCATTGCTCACCAGCCTCTTCGCTCAAGCAGGGAAAATTCTCGAGATCTCTGTCTATCAACATGGCCAAACATTCCTCAACCAATAGCACATTGAGTGTTTACTATGATGGAGATCGAAGAGAAAGCTGCACAATGCTGGTGGAAATGTACAAGATGGAGATTCATGAGTACAACGCCGTGTAGAATTGATCTTTCCAGTATGTAATTAAGAGCTAAATAGCTGCATTGATGTTGAGCAGGACTTTGCCGACTCATACACGTGTTCGAAGTCTGAAAAAGTGGTCTGAGGTACATATATATGAAATGCAATGAGGAATTGCAATGAGGAATTGCAATAGGATGGTCTTCACTTTATTAAGAGCTTTGTTAAAACATACGTCAAACAAGTACGATGCATGTACTTTATATCCACGCTCTTGTTAGAGTGTTCTGGTCTTTGAAAAAAATGCAGCTAAAGTTTTATGACTGCTATAGTGGCGATCACTTAGTACCGACATCCAGTTAGGTGGGAAGAATGTCCCCTAGTACTTTCCATGAACGCACTTGCCCTCTCTGTCATTCATATCAACACATTCAACCCACACGTTAGTTCTCGATTAAAGTAAACACAGAGGAAATTAAATAGGTAGATCACCCATAAAACTAACTGAATTGGGTTTTCTACAAGCACACTAGTAGAGCAAAATCATACATATGACGACTGATTGAAAAACAAGAGAACGACCTAGAAGCATGAAGCATGGATAAAATCTCAACACAGAATGTAACAATTGTTGGCGTGGAATACCTGCAAACGGGTTTGCCTCCATACTTCTTGTAGACTTTGCATTCATTGTCACATTCTCCACAGTTTTTGACATCTGAATACAGACACACCTCACAACCATCCTCGATATCCTTGTTGCAGTCAGCGTATCCGGGGTTGCACGTAATTTCGCACTTGCCTTTGTAGCACTTAGAGCTGGAGTTTGGATACTTCCCGCACCTGATCACGGCACATTTGTCCAAGTACACGCACTTGCCGTGTTCGCACGACGCGATTTCATAATATTTTGGTTTGCATTCTACACCACATTTGCCGCAATTCTCCACAGTCTCCAAGTCGGTCTCACAGCCATCGTAATATTTGCCGTTGCAGTCGCCGAATCCTTCATAGCAAGAACAAGAGCACTCTCCATACTTGCATGTGCTGTATCCATTCGCAGGCCGAGGACAAATGACCCCAGCACAACTGCCACTACCACCGTTTGCAGTAGCCGAACCTGAGTTGAGGGACCAGAGATCATGTCAATAGTTTTCTCCACTAAAAAAATACCTCATACCACATTCCACAATGCCCGATTTCTGAAATAGCTCGCTGGGATTAGTTTTCGAACGCTTCGGTACACTCCAAGAATCGCATAGAGTAATGCAGCCAAATATTAATAGGGACACTGACTCACGAATTACCTATGAAGAGCACTGCTAGAGTAGCAGCTACTAAGAGCACCGCGGGTTGCCATTGCTGAAAGGGCCCCATCTTGGTGTGCGTTCCAGCTGCCTCCAACGAGAAGCAAAAGTATACGAATATCTACTGGACTCAGTGAGAGACGATGGGAACAGCCTGCGATGAATATTGGAAAGCAGAGGACAAGCTTAATAAAGTGTCCTTCAAGTGGATCCTTTCGATGTGCTAAAGTTACACTACGTGACAATTGATGATGAAAACGCTAGCAATCCAGCGTAACCGGTCATTGGTCATTCGTGAGTGTGAATGTCGGGTTCTCCGAAATAGATTGCCCTATCACGACACATGTATTGACTTCGCCCGGACAGAAAACTCTTCTAGAAGTCTTCGACAGATGTTCATCGAAGAGACAAATTTCGATCAACTTGCGGATCTCGTGTATACTAGGATGACATAGGCACTCACGCATACACAGGCTCATAGTTAGTCACATGCATCGACTTGCGTAAGTGCGCAATAGCTTATCGTCAAGGATTTCGAAGCTTTTGTTCTTTTTAATTTTTCTTAACACAAAAATGGAGAGCATCCGATGCACTAATAGAATAAATCACAGCATGGTTTTGTAAAGTTCCATTTAATTACTTAATGAACTCTTAAGCCAAGCAGGTGTCTTCAGAAGAATTTGTCCCATTTCTTGAGAAGGCTTGAATTTCTGCGCATTTCACTCAGGTTGGCGGTGCGGCCTTCTGGGTAAGCTGGGATTATATCAAAAGTGCTCTACTTCATGGGCATGAACACTCGCACACATTTTTAATGCAACAAATTCAGAGGTCCAAAAGTTGCTGTGTCGTTGACGACAGTGGTCGCTCGTTTCGAATTGGTGCAGTCGTTTACCCAACAAGCTTCGAACTCACTGCTTAGGTTCTCCTGACATAAATTTGGAGGGATGCGCTTAATGCTGATCCAGCCGCAATGTTCTAACCAGCTTTCACACCTGTCAGTGATGCCTCAGCGTGCCGAACTCGTTGGTAGACTATAAGTATCCGACAGGACAACCGGTCGGATGGATTTGTACAGTTGATTAGCACAGTTGGCTCAACTGGGTTGTCCGAAAATGGTCCTTCTGCTACGTTATCACGTCTTGGACAATACGACTAAAATATCACAAATAACAATACACGTAGAGGTGACTATACGATATCAGGTCATGGTTACATGTATTGCCAGAAATCCATTTAGGACATGTTTGCATCAGAAAAGAATGAACACGAAGTTGACAGCGACCTTGGTCAAACTTCCTACTATCTATTTAGGTGAGCAGCTCGGAATTTTAAAATCATGTTACATTGAGAGTCCCCACTGTTGCTCAGCACTGCGTCATCTCTACAAATCCTCATACCGGTTCAATAAACTCAGCTCTGATGAAATCTACACAAATTGAAAACCGGCTACTTGGACATTTCCCCTTAAGGTCAAATACTTACAGTTTTCTCATTGATGAGACATAAAATAGTGATCAAGTTTTACAGGAAAGGTGAAACGTGCATCTGACACCTGACGAGTGAAATTCAGAAAATAAATACTTCATGTCGATTTCGGCTTCGATGCAAGTGGCCTCGATTCAAGCAGCTCTTCCGCAATCCTAGTTTCCTGCACCAACACATTTTGATTGTTCGTGGAATCGCTGTTGGAGGATTTGAAATTACGTCTCTGTCTGAAGGACTTGCGAGAAAGCGCCCCAGTCAGCTTCTTTGAACTTTGTGTTTCTTCAAGAGGCTCGATGATTTTTCCAGGAACAGGATCCACAAGTGATAAACGAGACGAGACATAGGCCATAAGCTCTTCCCGATTAGCAAAAGTGAAATCCAGATGAGCGAACCCAAACTCCGCATATGATGCTTGACAACCCCCACTTTTCAAAGCTTCGTAGTGTTTTCTGACCATACTTGGTGGAATAAGCTTATCCCTCTGGCCTCCTACTAAATCCACAGGAATATCAATCACATTATAGTTCGCCGCAATGTCCAGCGGGTACGGACTGCCATAGGCCTCAAAATTCAACTCTTTGCTTCCAAAATTGTACATGATGAATCGTTTAGCTCGCATCATCTGTGATAAATGGACAGCAACTCGAACCGATACCCCAGGCATATTATTCATGTTGTAGTGCGACACACCGATTGCTCCGACCCAATTAGAGCTATCTCCTCCAATGACGTAGCTAAGTACAGCTTGGACTAGACCTCCAACCGCAGGATAATTTTGGAAGTCTCTAGATAACTTGTTGAATAGCGCTCGAAAGAATCTAGTGGGTATATATATGCCAGGCATGAGAAGATTAAGGACAGGAGCTAAAAGCGGGATGATAAACTGTAACACTTTAAGAGAAAAAGGAGCATCCTCATGAAACCCAGCTGGAGATAGAAGGATAAGTCCTGAAAGATAGTGGGGCCTCTTTGCTAGGCATCTCGTCACAACATATATCAACATTGCAGCACCGCCCAAGCTGTGTGCTATCCCACACAGCGTGTAAGGAAAATTCTTGGAATCATATTTCACAGATTGAGAAATTTCACCATACTCAATCTCTGAATGTACTGGACCTCGTAACTCCAACATTTTGAGTTCGTGTATCTTGGTTATCATAGCTGGAATGTCTTCTATGCCATGCTCGTTCACAGTAAAATCCCAGTATCTACAGTTACAACACAACGCTTACAAACAATATACAATATACAAACAACAAAAACAATTCTTCACTTACCTGCTTTGTGAGCCTGAGATGCACAGAATTCATAGCTGCGCTCATGATCACTCATTAGGAGTGTAGTACTCGCAGAATTTAGTGATCCAGTTCAACAATTTATCATCCAGCATAGGAGACATTGAAATATGGAAAGAGAGAAGAACATACTTCTGAGGTGAGATATGTTTGTTCGCGTGTTCTCTTGCCGCCAAACCCCGCAGATTGCCCAAGTATACATCATAACCTGCATAGAAGTGATAGGTTAGTTGTACATCACAAACGATGGGTACCAACTTGGCAATGGAAGGATGCCAAAGTTGGCTAGCCAAAGTTCAATTGCACAATACCCTCCCTACTGCGATCTACAACTGCAATGTTCACTGGAGTCACAATTAGAGGTCTGAAGCAAGTTAGCTTTCCAAGTTGGATGATTGATGTCACAAATTTCAGACCTTTCAGCGACTGGAGAGCTAACAAAAGAGAAGGAACAACTTTCATACATAAACACCCGCATATATTACCTTGGTCAAAAGCTGCAAAGGCTTGAGATCCAACGACTCCATTAGAAACCCAGCTGTCATCAAATAATTCAAAAAGTAAGGTAGACAACATTCCAAAACTCACCATTCAGTACTAGAAAAGCTGCGGACTAAACATTGTTCTGCAAAACAAGACTTAAACTTTCTGAGCTTACTGAACTTACTGCATCTAAGAAAAGTAATTCCCGAAAGATTTCTGAGACTATGAGCCATGAAATAAGGTCCAATTCAGTCCAAAGAGTACAATCCTATCTAAATTCATGATCCTTTACTCCAACAACGACAAGAAAAGGCACTCATCTAGTTGCAGGGCACATGTAGATCCATAAAATATAACGAAAGATAAAGATTTAGCTAACCTAATTGAAGAATCTAGAACTCCATGCTGTAGAAATACAACCTTCCTTGATTCTCGCCTACAAGGAACAGTAATACATTATGCAAGAATTATAGTTATCTCTTTATGAGCTTTCATAAGAATACATGAAGCAACTCAAATAGTTCATTGCACAATAAGAATAATTACAAAGATGTGTACATATATTCCTTGTAAGATATAAAATTGATGATATATTCATTGCATTAAAACCAAAACTGCAATCATTCTAACCAAATTCCATCACAGAAGGATGATGACGATGACTCCCAAGACAGACATAACTCAACCGCAAAGCTGAACAAGAGGTCCTAAGTATCTCGAATGAGATGGCTGACCTGGGTATCCTTTCAAGGAGGAGTATATGACCATCCTCTGTAGTCACACGATATGCTTCGTATGGATACCTGAGGCATGTAAAAAACAGATAAGCTCACCTCACTGTAGATCATAGGACACACGATAACGAGAGCAGCCGTGTTAGCAGATCATGAAAAACTACTATAGCAGTTGATTGCAAACGTATGGTTCATTGGAAATCACACTGAAATCACGTATCTCTTGAGTAACATGAAGACCTAACAAGAAAAACCTAACAATCAAGATAGATTGCAAGTACTATAACGGAAAAAAGAACTCTGTAATGATACTAGAAGGTAAGCTGCACTAGAGTGTAAGATCATTTACAAAAAGCAAGAACTAACCCCAAACTTGTGATGATATCCTGACATGTGCGGTTATCTGTATTCAGAGGATGATGTGGAACCTGCTTCTGCTTTGGAGCATCGGGATCCGAGTTACCTAAAGTGGCCATGTCTGCGAGGTCTGTGTCATCATTGTAACTCGTATCACGAAAGAAAGCCCAGTAGAGAAACTCTCTAAGTGTTTTAAATGGTGATAGAACGTGATGTACTAACGAACGCACTACCTCAAACACTCGCTCGATCAGGAGCTCCACAACAAGTTGCAAGTCCTGCAAGACGTGATTATATATTTTAAAAATAGACAGAACAAAAAAGCTTGAAAAAATCCTGTCAGATTCTCTTCAACCTGAAAATTAAATATATACCCAGTAACATTACGGGAATTTAGTTCTCACAAGAATAAACTCAATTATGTACCTCTATGATACCACGTCTGCGATCAGCTGAAAACTTGGGCGCTGGAAATTCTCTGATTCCACTTAATTCCACGCCGTCACTCAAACGGCGAGCCAAGTCCCTGAAACCACCTGAGTTCGATCTCGGGGATTTTGGAACATTCGGAAGTCGCCTCGATCCCTGATTCCCTGACCACCTGTCACCCAAACCCATGTGTAACCATGATCTCATTCGATTAGTGGTTTAACATCTAGCCCTATTAATGATTATGGCCTCTTAATGAAGAAAATCATAAGCTTATCAAAAGAAGTTGACTCTTGCTCCCGATGAACTGTTTCAGTAGGCACGAACGATTAACATACTTTATTTGCACTACAATGATCTTGCTGTGCGTTCATAGATGGGTGACTTAGAAAACTAGTAATGTAGAAAGCCACCGACTTCCAATATCTAAGTACAGTATCTCCAACCGAGAAGATTTCAAAGAAAGATGCAAAATATCAGAATATAGAAGACTCAACATACCAACGACGGAAAAACTCTAGAAGGATTCGTAATGGCCATAGAATCCATAGAAGAAGACGCTGCGCTAGAGTCCTATTGCGCCGGTTGCGTCGTCCTGAACTTCCCGATCGAGAAAAATGGGAACATTCTGAGGATGGTGAAGGTGGTGCCGTGCTGTCGATATCTTCAACACCAAATTCATGTTCAAACTCATCACTTGATTCGCTGTCAGTATCATAATCTGCTAAGAATGTGTTGAACGAAGAGACCCCTCTGCAACAATTTACAAATCGACTAACCATCAGCTCATGGTTAAAATAGCAGATTAAAAGTAAAACCTGCTTGTCAACGACCTTGTAGCAGGTTGAGCTCAGATTTCAAAAACTTACTCTTCCATCCAACGTGGCATGCGAGGGGGACGAAATGTAGAATGCGACTGGATTCCATCCCAAGCAGGGCCTCTCCCTGGAAAAATAGCAAGTATATATGCCGAAATTCCATTAATCGCTCTAACTGTGTTCTGGAAAGACTCTTGTGTGAACGTCTTTATTGATCTGCAGATGCATCTCAAAGTTAACCACTTTCTAATCATACTTTCTTAACAACCAGTAACATTTTCCTGATCCAGTGCACGTAAATGAGCTGGAGAACTCCAAATTTAGAGAGTATGAGGTTCAACACGCAAAATCACCGCCATTCGACACTCTCAACCAACATTTTGTTTGATAAAAAGAATCTCAAAATCCAGCGTTCAGATCCAAATACAGAAAATCATATTTACATTGATAACAATAATAGATGATATCTTCATAATCGACGCAAAGGATATAAAACCTTGTGGGCAATATGCCGGACTGAGAGAATCAACACAGCCACACACACTACATAAATAACAAAACATATATTTTAACGAGAATAAATAACAGTCACAAGATCTTACTCCCAGCCATCTCTAGCATTAAGAACTGTGTAACACACGTTTGACATTCACAATTGCCCTGATCAAAACAATAGCGACCGAACATCGTCCCTACTCTGAAAAGCTTGCCGAACGGCAAGTAATACAGGTTATAATATTGAGCTGAAATTCATCTCATTGACGTTCCTGTAGATCCAAGAGCCCCGCTGCTTTGAGATTTCCAACGCAGCAATACAATTGTTCAGTACAAGTTGGAAAATATCAAATAAACCCACGCCAGCTCAAATCACTCACTCTTTCGCATTCCCTAAAACATTGTCGACAAGCCGCTGCATCGTTGCCTCCAACCAACCATTACCCTTTCCTGACCCTAGCCACCACAAACTTGATCTCTTGCTTCGCCTCCAAAATCGTCTCCCAAAACTTTCACCAACGTCTTCAATCACCGGCCCAAGCTAGCCAAAAATATTCCCACCAATCTCCTCCTCGAACGCAACCCACCACCATCACCTCCTACCCTCGAAACCAGTTTAGCAATACACGAAAGCACACAAAGCTCTCTGGATCCATCCCCTCTCCAAACCTCTCATGCCAATAACGCTACCGTAAACCAAAATTCCTCTGCAAGCGTACACGCCACTCTCCCACCTGAGATTCATAGCCACCGAACCCGAAACCCCTTCATCACCGACGCATCACCGCCTCACGAAAAACACCGGGAAACCCAGGTGAGTGCGCAATTGGGAGGGAATGTTTTCGAGTGAAGTGCACAATCCGAGGCTCTTCTCCAAGGTGCTGGTTGTGGTGGTAGTGATGGAGCGAGGAGTGTGCAGCTTTCGCGTCGGGCGCGCAAACCAAGGTGCCAGTCCACGAATCCCGCTTTCCAAGGCAGAGCCACAAAAAAGGGGGGATTGGGGGGGGGGGGGCTTGGAGGTGCCTGGGTCACGCGCGGCACCCGGCGCCTCCTCGCGGTCGGAGAAAAGTTTCTTTCAGCGACCGGTAGTCGTCTGCCAGATGGCGCCACGGTCTTGGGAGACGGATTGAGATGAATGGGGGGCTTCGAAAGTGGAGCTCCGTGGATGATATTCGTTGCGAGGGCCGAAGTTCCCCATTGAGGTCGACGTTCGTTTGTGCCTCTCAATGTGACCTTCAAATTATTAGTTGTAGGTTAATCAACTGTATTTACGAGATCTTTCTACATAATTTTATTTTTTTTATTTACTATACAAATTAGAATGATAAGTTATCATTTATTCAATTTAAAATCTTCTTATTTAGTTTACATTTTATATTAATTATTCTTGTTATGTAAACAAAGATTGTTATACACAACATATAGAATACTACAAACTAATCACAAAGTATGTAATTTAAATCAAATAAAAATGCACAACCAACACACTCTCAAGGATAGATTAGAAATCTATACAAAACTAAGTGAAGCTATCTCTCACACCACAAATGAGAATCCAAAAATACAAATGTGAAAATAGAGAAAATCCTAAAGCTTTACTAAAATATCTAAATTACCATAGCCAAGAAAACCCTTATAATAAGTTATTTCTCTTTCAAAATCACTCATAAGACTTGACTTGACAAAAATGTCAAGTCAAGGATTTTTTTTCTATCTAAGTATCCAAACTTTAGTTGACATTAACAAAATCAATGAATAAAACAATCTCAATAGATGAAAAACTACTAAATAAACTAAACTACATATATTCGACAAGATTTGGTATATAATATCATAGTACATGACAATTGTTATATAAAAAAAGATTATTACACATAATACATCAAATGCTACAAACTAATTATAAATTATGTAATCTGAATCAAATATAAATATACAACTAATACATTTTCATGTCCTCCTTCTAGTTGATTAAGATCCTCTCTTGTAACAAAGTATAGATAAGATAATTATATAGATAGTTAGAAATATGGAAGTTTTTAAAATTGAAGTTAAGTTAGTGGACTAGGTAGAATTCACCATGGAACATCCTAGAAAAAATTTAAGGCGATTATTTAAATAGGGTCTACCGTGGAACTTTCTAGAAAAGACTTGGAGCGGTTATCTAAGTAGAACCTATTATAGAATCTTCTATAAAAGGAGTCTAAGGCAGTTATTTAGGTAGAGTCCACTACCTAAGAATATTCTAGAAAGTCCATGGTCATAGGACAAGATATAAATAAGACTGGCCAAGGCCTTTTGGAGCATCTACTTAGGTATGGCTTTGGATCTTTTTTCTTAGGAAAATTTGATTTTCCATCTTTCTATTCAGTTCAGCTTTGTTTTTTTTTTATTTGTTCAATTTTGTCTTTCACGTACTATTTTGTTTAGTTCTATTTAGTTTTATTCTGGATTGTTTCATCCTATTTTGTGATGAAGCTTAATACTATTGTGAATTAGAAAGATCTTAGATTTTTGAGATAGTTTGGTCCTATTTCATTGGTATTAAAGCGAGTGTTAGATTATTTAATTTTGGTAGTGTATCAATAATCATCATTTAGTCCAAGGTTAGTTGTTATAGTCACACTAGGTATTGTGTTGAGGCTACCATGAGCTATTCTTAAAAAGTCAATTGTAAATGATATTACAATAGTCAAGTCCATTGGAAAAATTACAGTATGAGAGATATAGAAGAGCAATCTTAGATGGAGGCTCATATAGAACACTTTTTAGGCCAGATAACTACTTTGCAAGAGTAAATAGAAGCCTCAAAGATAAGAGAGTCAACATCTGCTAAGTTGAAATTGAATAAGCTTAGTACATACTCTAGGACTTCAAGACAAAAAGATGTAAGTCAATGGCTCTTCAATATGCAACAATACCTCCAACTATTTGAGACAAATATCATTGAAGGAATTATATATTTTGTCAGCTATTTGAAAGATACAACAATCATTTGGTAGTGACATTAAGTCCAAGGCTATGGAGGTCAAGGTTGATTTTGTGATTGGAAGGAATTTGAGATGGAGTTTAGGAAACAATTTTGGTCCATCAATGTGGAGAAGATAGTATGTGTTTAATTGGCAAATCTTATACAAGCTAGGTCGATGCAAGATTAATGTCTATGGATTTAAGTTCCTATGTCTCCAAATTAGTAATGTTTTAGAGGCAGAGATGATGGATTGATTCCTATGAGGTTTGAAACTTGGGATCCAGTAAGACGTGGAATTAAGGGATCTACAAACATTTAAAGAGGTAATTCGGATTGTAAAGAGAATCAATAGTATGGATTTTAGAAATCGTAGAGTATGACCTATAGTACAAAGTCCTATGCCACTATTTAATACTACAGCACATCAATCAATGCTAATAGAGATTGTTGCCCTACAAGGATCATTGACACTACAAAGACGACAAATATTGGTACAAAAGGAATTATATTTCTATTGTCGAGAGCTAGGCCATCAGATTAGAGATTGTTTTAAATGTCAAAATTCAAGCATCAATAAGATAAGGTGGATTCATAGTCTCAAAATTCACCAAGTTGATAATGAATCAAAGGAAGAAAACGAGGCTCTTCAATAAAGACATTGAGGGCCAATATTGAAGATAGTTACTATATTTCAAAGACAAATGGTATGGCCTTGGAAAACTAAAAAAAAGAGTAAACTATGAATAAAACCATGTCAAGTACTTGTAGATTGTGGCTTTTTAGAAAATTATATTTTAATTGAAATTGCCAACCAGTTTGGAATTAAAACTAAAGCAATCAAGGGAGGAAGCATATACACCTAAGAGATGACCAAGAAAATATAATAAGTGAGATGTGTGAAGAAAAAACCTTAAGATTGATAGATGCCTATGTCTTAAGAAAGAAATTCAAGGTGATAAAGTATCAAGGACATGAATCTCAAAGAAACAGAATCCTCAATATACTCTTCTATCATTAAAGAGAACTAAAAAGTCACTCAAAAGATGATGTAATATTAATTATAATGGCTATTGCCAAAAATAAGAACATTAGAAAATCTTAAAACAAGACTAAGACTAGAAAGGCATTGACAAGAGTGAAGAAAGCTTCACTCTTACCTCCATATATACTATCTAACTAAGAGCTACATGGCGATGTCCTATAAGACCTCTAACATGTATTGACTTTGCTAACCACATATCTTATCTTGCAAGGCAAGTTATTTATATATGCACCATGTAGTTGGCTTGTTCTATAAGCTACTACATGGAGATAACTTGTTCTATAAGCTACTAATACATGGTTAGCTTTTTGGCCAAGTTTCTAATACATCTAAAGTTAAAACCGCATCTATGAAGCTTCTAGGAAGTTTTTCTAAAAGACTTTATGAAATCATTCTATATTTATCTACTTCTACTTAATTATATAAGTAACTATTAAGGTAATTATATATGTCCTTGACATTACCCCCCCTTCTAGGGACGAGTTCGATGAGGAGTGGTCTTCATATGTTGAAGAAGTCAAAGATGCAGTGAATTGTATTTGCTACATACTCCGATCTTTGCTCTCTTTGAAGATGGTTGATAGGTCCTCTCAACCATCTTTAGTGTCTCATACTAGGACGAGAAGACCATTCTATTATTTGGTCATTTTTGAGGCCTTCATAACTTCTTTCAAATAAAACATTTGGAACACCGTCAGGAGTTGTTCCTACCTCTAATAAAATCACTAAACATTGGGAGTCTCTTCTAAGGTCGTGATATCAAACATGTTGTATCTTGCCATCTATTCAAGGAAAGATATGTTGTTCTTGAGGATCTTCATCTCAATTTTGTCATCTTGAAGGTTGTAACAATCGCAATGTCTTGTCTAGTAAGTCCACAAATGAAAGCTCTTGAATTGAATCTATTGGTTGTTGGTATTCTATCTCATCACAAATATACAAAAGCTACAATGAAAGATAGAAGGTAGAATATTATTTTCTTTTGATCTCATTTCTTTTATAGCAAAGGTTTGCTATTCTTCATCTTAGTTTTGATGGATGTCGTTGATGAAAGACTTCAACTTTTTTTGTTGCATTTGTAAGATTCTTTGATGGCTCCCATGTACATTTACTATTATCATATCCATGCTAATGAACAAGATATTCCAACCTATTTTAGCGCCACCTTGAATCTAAGACTTCTTCTACCTCAAACTCTTCATTATTATCCACTTTTATCGGAGGAGGTGGCATTTGTCTTTTTTCCAAGATATTCACTATCTTATACGGCTGCAAAAGAGACACATGAAATATATGGTGGATCTTCATAGACTCCAGTAGATGTAATTGATAGGCAACATGATTGATTTATTTAGAAATAGGAAAAGGTCCCAACGTACAATAATTTAATTTATCACAAAGACGAGAAGTCTTGATATTATGATAAATTAACCATACCTTCTCACTCATATTATATTGTGGTTACTCCTTGCAATAGGCATCCGCATTGATTTTTTGTCATTCTTAAGCTTCTTTTAATTGTATCTTTTTTTTTGCATGTAGCTCTAACAAGCGATTTGCTAAATCTTTCATCATAAGATTATCAACTTTTGAAAAATCAAAAGTATCAAGACGTGGATGATAACCATAATTGACAAAGAAAGGTATTTATTGAGTGGAAGAATGTACTAAATTATTATATGCAAACTCTGCCAATGGTAAAAGAGTTGTCCACTCATCTTGATGATAGTTGATGGTACATTTTCAAATAGTGCTCCAAAACTTGATTTATCTATTCTGTTTGTCCATTAGTTTGAGAATAAGCTAAAGAAAGCTTTATATCCATCTTTATAATCTTAAATAAGATTCTCCAAAATCTTGATACAAATTGAGTCCTCCCATCTGATATAATATCCTTTGGTAATCCATAATAGTGATAGATATTGTCAATGAAAAGCTTAGCTGTTTCTTTACGTG